GGGAAATGAAACAGGACGAGCCCCGCCCCCAGCTCACGGACCCAGCGCGGCAGAGAGGCTGGAGCACGGCTCCCTCCTCCGGCCACGGGGCGGTGAGGCACAGCTCAGGGCGAAAATGTAAGCAAGCGTCCGCCACGTGGTGGTGAAAGACACTTGCCTTGGCAACAAATGGATTCATGCAGAATGACGATCATTGTAAGCCTGCATACATATGACTATGAAGAATACAGTCCGACTCCTTAAGTCAGAAGCCACTGAAAAAAATCACACGGGAAAATAGGAGGATTATGGCCAGAGCAGCACGTGGAGGGATTTCCAGGACTTGAAATGCCTTCTTTATCAAAAAAGGGAAGTCATCCCCCTGGGTCTACAGTCTATGGTCTCAGAAGGGTCTAAGGAAACAGGAGGAAAAATAATAAAAACGGGGATAGATCACATTCGTGGAAATAAACACACATTATATTAAGAGCAGAAATAAACGCACTGAAATACAGAAACAGCTGAGATCAGTCACAAGAGCCAAGAGCTCATTCAAACACAACAAATGAGAGGATATTTGGAATCAGCCGAGAACGGGGCTTCTCAGCCTCTGTGCTGCTGACGTCTTGAGCCAGATTGTCCTTCGCTGTCGGGGGGCCGTGCTGTGCACTGTAGGGGGGTTAGCAGCTCCCTGGCTTCTGCTACTGGCAACACCCTCAGAGGCGTGACAACCAGATATGTGTCCCCGGGGGACAGCGGCCCCGGGCGGAGAACCTTTGCTCTGGAGCACGGAGGATCGGCGGCTCTCAGACGGACGCGTGAGCTGGCGGGCTCTCCTCTGACGCGCCACCCTTTCCCTGGTTCAGCTCCTCTTTTCCAAGACAAATCGCTTTCATGGTATATAATCTGTTTCTGAACATTCTCTGAGTTACATATCATGGGGTAAGAAAACCCAGGCAAGACTGAAGGTACAAGATTATAATTTAGAGAGAGTATGGGTTTCAGCAGGGGATGGAGAAAGAGCAGAGACAGGCTGGTAAATTTTGCTTCCTCTTCAAGCAAGATTGGGAAAAGACTCAAGGTTTTGAAACCGGGTGACGGGAAGGAGTGTTTCTTGCTGATAAGTCGGGACAAGAGGCTCTCTGATAACGCAGCATCTTCTAGATTGATCACATCTTGGAGGAGAAGGCTGAGACCTTGTCACCCAAATGTGGCCAGGAGCCAGCAGCTCCCAGAGGCCAGCAGTGCCACATTCGCATAAGGAGCCCCCAGTCCTGGCATGTGCCCTCCTCTGCAGGGGCCCACCACTCCTTCCAAACCTTGCCAGGGGCAGGGTCCCTGGTCACAGAGATCCCCTGTCTGACACGGATGCACTTGGGGTCTGTCCCCACGGTCGCCATCTCCCACTCCAGCTCTGGTCCGTGCTCATCCCCTTCCCTCGGGTGTGGAGGGAGCTCCCCACTAGCTGTGATGCCTGTGTCCCGGGAGGCCAGGTCCCCAGGCTCCAGGCACGAGAGCTGGGCTGTGCTCCGGCAGAGATCCGAGGAACTCTTGCCCACTCAGCTTGAGTGGCTGTGAGCTCTGGGGACCTGGGCTTCCTGGTTGGTGGAAGTCTCCTGGGGGGAAACGTGAGCTCAGCCGGGGGACAGGCCGGGGCCAGCTTCCTGCTCCGACCCTGCCCGGTCTGCGCCGCACCTGTAACCAGAGCACTTCCAGGACACAGGCATCGGTGTCTCCCTGCTTCTGCACGATGGCTGCAGCCACGGTCAGGGATCTGGTCCCACTTTTCAAAGCAGAGCCGACTTTTTTAACCATTCCCATAGTTAATTTAATGCTACAGAGAGCTGCTCACCTGTTTACTCAGGTGATCACATAGGAAGTAGGTGGGTGACCATGACTTCGGTCTCTGTCCATTGGCCTGGGTAATCACTACTAAAAGTTATCTGGTGGGTTGGAGATGTCTACACTCACCCCCTCCCAGCCGTGTATGCACATGAATGGCACTGTCACTGAAGTCCTTCTCAAGACATCTGGCAAACTATCCTTTTAAGCACTGAACTACAAGGACAATTTAGGGCCATTCTGTGTAGAAATCCAAGGGTCACATGGAGTCTGTCTTCTTAAAGAGACCCCGGAGAAGGACCAGGTCCTTGATGACGCAGGAGTCTCAGCCCTTCCCTGCCCTGTGATGGCCCCTGGGGCTCACCTGGGTCACAGGAAGAATGCCTCGCTCTTCTTTCCTTTTTTGTTTTAATTGATGTACAGTCGATTTACAATGTTGTGTTGATTTCTGGTGCACAGTGTAGTGATTCATTTACGCACGTATGTACATTCCTTTACATACTCGTTTCCATTAGGTTATTGCAAAGTGTTGAACACAGTTCCCCGTTACAGTCGGACCCTGTTGTTCATCTATTTTATATGCAGTAATTAGTATCTGCAAATCCTGAACTCCATTTGATCCCCACCCCCTTTACCCCCTGGGAAGCATAAGTTTGTTTTTCTATGTCTGTGACTCTGTCTCTGTTTTGTAAATAAGTTCATTTGTGTCATTTTTTAGATTCCACATGTAAGTGATGCCATGTGCTATTTGTCTTTCTCCGTCTGACTTACTTCACTTAGAATGATCTCTAGGTCCATCCAGGTTGCTGCAAATGACATTATTTTATTCTTTTTTATGGCTGAGTAGTATTCCATTGTATAAATACACTACAGCTTCTTTCTCCAGTCATCTGTCGATGGACATGTAGGTTGCTTCCATGTCTTGGCTGCTGTAAACAGCGCTGCTGTGAACACTGGGGTGCATGTGTATTTTCAAATTAGAGTTTTCTCCAAATGTGTGCCCAGGAGTGGGATTGCTGGGTCATACAGTAAGTCTATTTTTAGTTTTTTAAGGAACCGCCATACTGTTTTCCACAGTGGCTGCACCAATTTACATTCCTACTGACAGTGTAGGAGGGTTCCCTCTTCTCCACAGCCTCTCTGGCATTCATAGAGCACCTCCCTTTTCTCCCAGCTTCACCCTGCTCTGTCTCCTCTGTCCACGCACTGCACCAGACCTGTATCTGCAAAGCAGACTGAATGCGGCACAGCCCTTGTGTAGAAGCTGCCCCTGTCTGCCTTGGCTGGTGAGTCACTTCACCGGTGTGGCGCCTGCGGGGCCTGGGCTTGGTGGGCTGAGGCTGCGGCCGTGGGAAGGGTGGGTGTGATCCTTATCTGGAGGGGAAGAGGGGCGTCAGTCACGAAGTCCTTGTGCAGACCCAGGAGTGTGGACAAGCGAGAGGTGTGCAGCCCGGCTGAGTTCAGACAGGCTTCCTGGAGGAGGCGGTGCCATGGCAGAGTCTTGGAAGGTGTGAAGAGTGACAGGTGGGCAAGGCAGGAGGCCATCCCTGCAGAGGGACTAGAATGAGCACAGGCAGGTGAGAGGCAGGTTGCTGAACACATGTGACACGGGAGGGGCTGGTGCCAAGGCTGGGGACTGGGACACAGTGGTCACGCGTGCTGTGCGGAGGACTTGGGAGGCCCAAGCCGCCCAAGGACTCAGAGCCTGGGGGCCCAAGGCCCCTCTTTTCTGGCCCCAGGGCACCAAGTAATGTCTCCCATAAATCCAGGCCAGGCCAGGCCAGAGGGACGCCACTGCACGCGGAAGCAGGGGCCCCCGCAGTGGGGGGAGACGTCCAGCCTGAGGCTGGCTCGTCTCGGCTGACAAGTGTCGTGGAGCAGCGGTGGGAGCCACCTGTGCCCCTGAGGGGCACCAGACACTCTGCCTGGGACTCACATGGACGTGAAATGTGTGGACAGCAAAGCCTGCTCACTCTGAGCTGGCTCCAGCAGGGGCTGTCTCACGGCAGGCAGAGGGCTGGGCAAGTTTACGGGGGACAAAGGGACAGCTCCAGAGGGCCCTGCTCCGAGGCAGGGGGCAAGGGCGTCTGGGGGTGGGCTAGCTCCCAGTGGGGCGTCCCCGGTTAGCGCTGGGACGCAGATTTGGCTTTCTCTGGGAAGTCAGAGGCGGGGACAGAAAGTAGAGATGCTGTTGTTACGAACCACGTCCCGGGTGTGTGGGACCAATCGTTACAGGAGTCACCGTGCCTCTTCCCGCGCCGGTGACCAGAGGTCACGGTCTGACTTCCCGTGTGATAGAGTCTGACGGACAGCAGCCTCTTCCCAGCTGGCCAGCGCCGAGAAGGGGTCGTCTCCCGGGCCGCTTGCCGCAGGTTGTGGGTCAGAGCTCAGTGGTCATAGGGGACGGTCCAGCCGCTGTCTGTGTCTCAGTCTCTCTGGTGAAATGGGGGACTTTTTGGACATGCTTGCCGTCACACGAGGAACACCCCACGCGCCAATGCCTGCCAGGCTGGAGTTGCCTCGGCGTCAGCGGGGTGCAACTCTAGCACGGCCGCCAGTGGAGGCCGCCTCTGGCCTGCACCCGGCGTGGCCACGCACCAGGGCAGCCCAGGGCCCCCGACACACTGGGGCTGGGTCCAGGGAGAGGCATGTGCCAGGTCCTCCCGGGTCCGGGTTTCGTGAGAACCGTTTTATTGAGACGGATGGTATGCAGTGGGTTGAGAAATTGCTGTGGTTGGGAAAACAATGAGAAAACAAAAAACCTCCCAGAATGAACAAAATACTGAAGAGGAAAGTGCCAGATCGAGGGAGGAAGGCAAGTTGAGCATGTGGGAAATTGCAAACTAATTGAAAAAAAAAAGAAAAACCCGAGAGCGGGGAGGCTCTGACTGTCTGTGTGCCAGAGCCGGGGGGTTTGGCCGGATGGTGGTTCTGACTGCAGTTCAAGTGCAAGACATACTCTGATTAATTTCTCCAGACTTCACCAGAGTTACACCAGCAACTCCCAGAACACTAATTACGGAGCAGAGGCGGCCAATGACTCATGCTGGAAGGAACCCAACTGACGGAACCCTCCCAGCCCTCGGAAAGCATCCGCGGTCCTCAGGCAGTGGGAACCGCCTTGATCAGGCAGCTTTGGCGCGAGCTCAGGGAGATAATGGAGACAGCGCTCTGATTAATGTGCGTGCGTGTGTGTGTGTGTGCGTGTGCGTGTGTGCACACACGTGCACAGGCTCTGAGTGTGTTCCCAGGAAAAGCTGGCAGGGACATCTGGCAGGCGTGCTTCCTGGGGGGCGTCCCCCTGCGGGAGATTGATGGATCTGCCGGGCGCTCTGGGGTTTCCATTCCCAGGAAAACAGTGGAAGCCTGTGCCGAGGACGCTGCAGGGCTCCCCGACCCGCCGCCACTGTGGGCTGGAAGTCACCTCTCCCAGCTGGACCTGACCACGCAAGGCCGTGTTGGCTGACCGCACTTTGGCTTGAAAGCTTGGGTGGTAGAGGACAGAGAGGCATTCATTCCGCAATGTGGGGACGAGATGGGGCAGAGCCATCCGCGTCCTGACACAGACCTGGGGGGTGTGAGAAACTAGGAGGACCCTCAAACGGATATTTTTTTCTCCGAGTGATGGGTGGCTTCAGGCCCTGCTGGGACTGTGCTGCGGCTGCAGAGCTGGCAGCCACCAGGCTGGGCCTCCGAAGACCTGCCCCTTGGAGCTCCTCGTGAGCCGGGCCTGGAGGACCGACCACAGCCACTGCTCTCAGCTCCAAGCACGCGGCGGTGCGCTGTAAGCACGCTCCCCTGCAGGCATGCCGGCTGAGCTCCACACATGCTCTCTGTCTGCTTGCAGGACTTCCCAGCCCGCCTGTGGGTGATGGAAAACCCATCACACCCGCACCAGGGGATCTGTCATCACCCTTGTCCACAAGCCACGGTGTGAGTACGTACAGGTAAGAACTAGCTTGCTATTCAGGCAGAAGTCATCCTCCTCCAAACCTGTGAAGAGCTGAAGGGTGGTTGAATCTTGCAGTTGTGCAGGGGGGGGTGTGTGGGTGTATGTGTGTGTGCTAAAAACTGCGACCAGAAAACATGGGAGTCAAGAACAAGGACCCTCTGACCCTCACTTCTGCCCATCGGAGAGCCCTGGGCTGGTAATTAACCTGCGCGGGATTCAGCGCTTCCACGGGGGTACAGGACAGCGACAGCACGCGGCTCACGGGACCCATCCAGGAAACGGACATGAAGAAGCCACAGCCCGCGGGAAGCGTTCCGCCGTCGCTGCAGGGTGCCTTCCAGGCTGGCCCGACTCGGATGTGGACACTGCCGTGACGTCACCAAGCACAGGTGCCTAAACTGCGCTTCCAACACGGAAGGAAACGTGTGGAAGACTTCGGAGGCTTTGAAAATCATGAGCTCTTTAGTCTCTCACACGAGAAGCGGGGGCGGGGGGGACACCCAGAGCTGGGCAGTGACCAGCTGAAGGTCATTCTGCTCTGAAAAGTGCAGCTGTGATCGCACACAAGGTGCCCACGTGTGCCTGTGGCAGTCTCTGCTCCCGCCAACATCACAACGTGCAGCGGCGCCTCCTTCACAACAGAGAGCATCCGTTTCATTCAACTGTTCCCTGAGTGTTTTTGTTTACTCTGAATTAGAATTTTTGTTTTGAGACAATTGTTACGCTGATTCCCGTGCAGTTGTAAGAAACAATACAGAGACCCTGTGTGCACTTCACGCGGTCTCCCCCAGTGGTCACATGCTGAAAACCCGTAGTGCAATGTCACGACAGGGAGACCGACATTAATACAGTCAGAATGCAGACCGTGCCGCCGTTCCTCATTCGGCCACCATGAGGACCCCGAGCTGTCCCTTTGCAGCTACCCTCTTCCCTTCTGCCTCCTCTTCTTAATCCCCTGCAACTGCTATTCTGCCCTCTATTTCCATGATTTTGTCATTTCAAGAATGTTATATAAATAGAGTCGCACAGCATGTAATCTTTTGGAACTGGCTATTCTCACTCTCCGTGATTCTCTGGAGATCCATCCAAGCTGTTGTGTGTATCAGCAGTTCATTTCTATTTATGAAACAAAAGTGATGTTCCAGAGGTGAGTGGACCACAGCTTAACTAGCACCTGTCGAAGGAAATCCAGGTTGTTGCCAATCTGGGGCTGCTACGAATGAGTCTGCTGCAGACGTTTGTGTGCGGGTTTTCGTGTGAGCACACGTTTGCATTTCTGGGACATGTGCCCAGGAATGAAATTGCTGGGTCATATAGCAGTTGCATGGTGGTGCTTTGAGAAGCTTCCCAAGTGCTTTTCCAGTTCAGCTGCGTCATTTTACACTTCCACCAGCCACGTGTAAATAATTCGGCTTCTCCACATCCTCACCAGCATTTGGTGCTGTCACTGATCCTGAGTTAGGCGTCTGGCGGGTGCACGGCTATGCCTCATTTTGGCTGTGATTCCCATTTCTCTGGTGGCTGATGAGGCTGGGAGCCTTCCACGCGCTTATCTCCATTCTGTATCTTCCTTTTGGTGAAATGTCTGTGAACGTCTTCTGCCCATTTTCTAACCAAATTGTTTGACTTTCTTTTCTTTTTTTCCACGGTTGAGATTTGAAAGCTCTTCACATATTCTCGATACGAGTCCTTTGTCAGTTTTGTGGTTTGTAAATACTTTCTCCCAGTTTGCGATTTGTTTGTTTCATTCTCCTAACACAGTCTTTCACAGCAAAAGTTGTTACATTTTGAAGAAGTCCAGCCTGCTGAGTTTTCCTTTTGTAGGCTGTGCTTTTGGCATCATTTCTGGGAACTTTTTGCTGAGCCTAAGTCCTGAAGATCGCTCCTTTCTCTTCCTGAAAAGCTTGCAGTTTAGGCGTCATGTTCAAGTCTGCGACCCGTTCTGAGTTGATATTTTACAAGGAGGGGTCCTTAGGCTGAGGTTCTTTTTTTGCCTTTGATGTCCAGTTGCTGCAGCGCCATTCTTTAAAAAAACCCATCTTTCCTTCACTGAATTGCTTTTGTACCTTTATGGGAAGTTGGATGGGCGTATCTCTCTTCTGGTCCGTTGACCTCTAGGTCTGCCCCTTTGCCAGCATCACACAATCTTGACTACTGTAGCTATGCAGCAAGTCTTGAAACCGGGTTGACTGATTCCTTCTGCCTTAACCTTCTGCAGACTATTTCAGCAACTGGTTACTTTGCTCTCCATGTAAATTTTAGAATAATTCTGTCTCCATCTACAAAAAATCTTGCTGGGGATTTGATGGGAGTTGCTTTCAACCCGGATATCAGTCTGGGGAGAATTGAGATCTCTTCTATGTTGAGTCTTCTAACACATGAACTGGTACGTCTCTCCATTTACTTAGGTGATCTTTGAGTCCTTTCACTAACATTGTGTGGTTTTCAGCATGCAAATCTTGCACATGTTTTGTTAGATGTGTACCCAAGAATTTCCATTTTTTTGAGCAATTGTAAATGACACTGTGTTTTTAATTTTGGTGTTTGTGTGTGTGTTGCATATACAAGTGCAAGTGATTTTGTATGCTTATCTTGTTCCCTGTTGCCTCGCTGAACTCACATACAAGTTTTAGGAGTTTTTTCCAGTAAAGTTCTTGGGATTTCCTATGTAGACAACCGTGTCATCTGTAAAAAGAGGCAATTTTATTTATCTTTTCAATTGTGTGCATTTTATTTCCTCTTTTGACTTACTGAACTTGCTAAAATTTCCAGCAACATGTGAAATTAGAGTGGTAAGTGTGGACTTGCTCCTTTTTAAGTTGAGGAAATCCCCTTTGGTTCCTGTTTTTCTGAGAGTTTTATTTTTTTTCATCATGAATGGATATTGAACATTTTAAATGATTTTTTGCACATCAAATGATGTAATCATTTGGTTCTTCTTCTTTAGCCTTTTAATCTGATGAACTATATCGGTTAATTTCCAAACACTGAGCCAGCCTTGCGTGCCTAGAACAGATCCTACGTGGTCATAGCATGTAGTTATTTTTATATGTCGGTGAACGTTATTTGCCAATATTTTGTTAAGAATTGTTGAATCTATATTTACGAGAGATATTGGTCCATGGTTTCCTGTTTCTTTGTACTGTCTTTGGCTTTGGTAGCAGGGTAACGCTAGCTTGCTGCAATGAATGAGGAAGTCTTTCCTCCTCTTCTATTAAGAGATTTTATAAAATTGATGTTAATTCTACTTAAACATTTAGTAGAAATTTTCAGTGAAACCATGTAGGCTGGAGAGTTCTTTCTTTTCTTTTTTTTTTAGAGTTTTAAAATTGTGAATTCAATGTCCTTGATACTTATATAATATTCAAATGATCTCCTTCATCTTAAGGTGACTTGTTTCCCCTGAGGAACTGGTCCATTTCATCTCAGTTGACAAACTTATGCAGAGTTGTTTGTAGTATTTGCTTACTGCCCTTTGAAATCTAAAGGGTCTGTCGTGAGAGCCTTTGTTTCACTGTTGGTAACTTTTGGTTTTCTTGGTCAGTACTGCTAGAGACTTGCCAATTTTACGGATAATTTCAAAATACCACCCCTTTGTTTAGAATTTTCTCTACTGCTGTTTCTAATGTCACTGACTTCCGTTGTCTTTATTCACTTCTTCCTTCTGTTTGCTTTGCAACCTTTTGCTCTCCTCGTTGCGAGTTCTTCAGCTCTTCCCGTGGGCGCGCAGACGCCGGCCTCGGGGCTCCCGCGTCCCTGGCGTAAGCGCTTGGCGCCGTGACTGTTCCTCCCAGCGCCGCCTTGGCTCCACGTCTGCGTGTGTTTCGAGAGGAGGAGAATCCTGTTGGTTCTCTCTGGTTTCTGCTCCTCTGGCACCTTCCCCCGATCTTTCTGTGGGTTACGTGAACATTTTTCCAGAATTCCACTTTCACTTTTCTTCTGGCCACAAAGTGACATAAATTCAAGGCGCAAACCTTCGCCAGGACTGGCTTGCGTTTTCCGCGCCTCACGGGAGTGCGCTCCTCTCTGCTCTACTCACGCCCAGGCCCCGCGCCGCAGAGGCCGCCGGGTTCGGTGCGGGGGAGGCAGCTGTCCCCCTGGGGTCTCAGCAGGAGGTGGCGAGGGGCTTTCATCCGGTTCCCGTGCTGAGAGGCCTCTGCCCGTGCGGCCGCTGGGAGCCGCACCCCACGCCGCCCGCGTCTTCGCGCCCCGGGGCCCCACAGCTCGCCGCGCGTCTGCCTCTCTGGGCCCGCTTTTC